TAAAATAAAATATATAAAACTAATTATTGAGATTGAAAACAGGAGTAGAGGGTTCTATCCCACTCCATCCTCCTTCCCCTTCTCTAAAATTATTAACCTAAAACATGAGAAGGAGATATCTCCCCCTCCCTCCATCCTCCTTCCCCTTCTCTAAAATTATTAACCTAAACATGAGAAGGAGACATCTCCCCTTCCTTTCCCTCCGATTTCCCCAATCCAAACGTCGGCTAAATTCCGCGGGCACTTTATTCGGTAGCTGTGGGCAGTGCCGCAGCGGTAGCTGTGGGCCCTCCGGTTCCGGCTGCGGCACTGCCCAAATTTTGCATGTCGACTGAAGACGTGTAGTGCCAGACTTCTACTAGGTGTACTCCACTGATTATGGCCGTCGATTTGCCCTAACCATCACCCGCCTATAAATTCGCCACCGGCGCTCTCTGGACAACCATCATCAGACGCTAAAATGGCGGTGCAATTGGAGCCGTGGAATGACCTCACTGACAAGGTCGTCCTGGTCACGGGTGCCTCCTCCGGCTTAGGCCGCGAGTTCTCTCTCGACTTGGCCAAAGCCGGATGCCGGATAATCGCAGCCGCTCGCCGCGTCGACCGGCTCAGGGAACTCTGTGATGAGATCAATCGCCTCGCTTTTCACTCCTTCGAACCTGAGAGTACTGTCGGTCGCCGAGCTGTTGCTCTGGAGCTCGACGTCTGCGCTGACGGTGCCACCATTGAGAGGTCCGTACAGCAGGCTTGGGACGCGTTTGGGAGGATCGATGCTTTGATTAATAATGCTGGGGTTAGAGGTAATTTCTGAAATTTCTTCTGCAAAATTCATTTTCTTTTGTAGGGAATGTTTGGTTTGAATTCAATTTAAGAATAAAGAAACCATTTTGCCTTTTGAATTAGGGTTCTACACTTTTTTTTAATAAAAATTATAAATCGGTAACAAAGTATTGTGAATTTTTTTATTATATTGTTTTCATTTTGTGAAATTTCTCTCTCTTTGGTTGAATTTTTACCATGAAGGCCTCTGGAATTACCTGAGGAGAAACCATTTTGCCTTTTGAATTAGGGTTCTACACATTTTTTTTAATAAAAATTATAAATTGGTAACAAAATACTGTGAATTATGTTATTAAATTGTTTTCATCTTGTGAAATTCCTCATTTTTTTGGCGGGTTGAATTTTTACCATAAAGGTACTGTGAAGACACCTCTGGAATTATCTGAGGAGGAGTGGGATCGTGTTTTCAAGACCAATTTAAAAGGATCATGGTTGGTGGCAAAATATGTCTGCATTCGAATGCGAGATGCAAATCAAGGGGGATCAGTGATCAACATTTCATCCATCACTGGCCTTGATCGTGGGCAATCACCAGGGGCTGTTGCCTATGCTTCTGCAAAGGCAGGTGTAAACACCATGACAAAGGTAAACATTACATGGAGTTATTTGTTGTTTAAACATGAACGTTGCATTGTTTGACATAGATTGATGCATGGTTATGAAGTTCTTATGGTGGACATTTGTAAGCATTGAGTATGTCATGGTGGTAGTATCTTTGGGATGGTAGTGTGCTACAGAGGGGAATTGTTTGAAATAGGAAAAGTTGAAGATGTTGCTCTAGGAACAAAGAAATGGTGGTTACAAATATCTTTGGTAGTTTATGGGTTTGATAGAAGGAGAAGTATATAACAAAATTTGAAAGTTAAGTATATTCGACGTAGACCATATATATTAAATCTTGATAGCAGGTATATGTTTTATAAGTAGCTACAGATTGTTGATTTGTTTATCCAATGTAAATACTTAATAATAGTTTCATAGTGTCATTAGATTCATTATGTAGACATTTGATTATGCACAATTATATGCCGTCCAATTAAATAATGAAATGGTTGGTAATGTTGTCAGACCTGCAAACTGCAGTTTACTTATCTTACATTGCATATTCTAGTCAAATATTTCTGCATAGTTTCTATTATTTTCAAAATTCACCTTATTCTTCACAAAGCGTAGCTTTTACAAGATTACCAAGTTGGAGTGATAAGGGTATGCATTTAAGAAGGACAAGGCCTCTCTGTTAGAATGTTTTTCATATCAGTTATAGTTATTCTTTCACAATTGACAATACTTGTTGCTTTCTCATAGCGGTGGAAGCCAGGTGTTTTTTGTCAGTGGGGGTAAGTAACATAGAATTAGAATTTTACTGTTGAAAGACTTACGCTGTGATGATAATTATGTTTATATTTGATTCAATATGCGCTTATTTCATCTTGGAGAATGGAAAATGACAATGAAGATATCCAGATCATGGCTTTGGAATTGGGGGTGCATAAAATCAGAGTGAATTCGATATCACCAGGAATTTTCAAATCAGAGATCACAAATGCTCTTATGCAGAAAGACTGGTTGAAAAATGTGGTTTTGAGGACTGCCCCTTTAAGAACATATGGCACCACTGATCCAGCACTAACCTCGGTTATCCGATACCTAATCCATGATTCTTCTGCATATGTGTCTGGCAACGTGTTCATTGTTGATGCTGGGACCACATTGCCTGGCATACCAATTTTTTCTTCCCTTTAAACATGTGTTGCACAATTGTAACTGTTCAAGCAAAAATTAAGTGTCATGTTAACGGTTCTTGAATAGTGTTTTGTGAAGTTCTTTTTATGAAACTTGTATTTTGATCTTTTTAGTATCAGTTGAATGCATCTTATCCGTACGATTCAGGCAACTTGCTGGTTGCTATAATGCGCTTGCAATCCCTGATGCCAATGAGGCTTGGGTCTTCTGATTAAAGATGGGATGATGGGGTATGTGAGAAGTATACCTGTGGATGAGAAGGGAATTGTATATATTTTTTTATCATGTAAGAATGAAGGGATTCCTTTGAAATTAACAACTTAACAATGGATCACAATTAAAATGTGCATCTCTATATGTGGCGGTATAGAACAATTGCAATGTGGATGTTTTTAATTAGGAAATTAAGACAATTAAAGTTAGAATTTTTTTAATAATTAATGAAAAAAAGTGCAATTAATGTAATTATAAGTTAGCAAAATTTATGTTTTTTATAACAAAAAAGTGTTCATCAACTATGCTCGTAAAAATTTGGAGAGGAAAATATTATAATAAATTTCTATTGAAAAGGAAATAATATATTTTTAAAATAAGAATAATACAGTTTTATTCTTCTCTTTTGATATTTTATTAGAATGATATATTTTTGAAATGTTTTCTCGTTTAAATTTTCACAAGTCTTACTAATAAATATTAATATCTTTTTATAAATATTTGAACTATTTATATTGAGAACTATTTAATTTTAATATAGTTAGGTTTTTTTTATCTTAATTTAATATTATTAAATTTTTAACAACCAAAACTAATAGTAATAAAAAAATTAAAGAAAATTAAGATATCCCAACAATAAAAATATAAAAAATAATAATGAAAAAAATTAAAATAAATCTAATAAATTAACATGTAAGATTTATTTAAAATATTTGAATAATTTTAAAAGAAAAAAATGTCATGGCACTCTAATTTCCACTTTTCATAATAAAAAATTAGACTTTAAAATTGTGCTTCGTGCTTCATTTATATTATTCTTTTTTTTAATAATTATTAAATATAATAATATTGATTAGTAATTAAAATTAATTTTTAATTAATAAATATAAAATTCATTTTTAAACACATATTAATTCATTATAAATAGTTATTTGACTTTTAAATCAACTAAAAATTTCTTTTCAAATAAATATGCTAGAGTAGTTAATCAAAATCTTTATTAATTTTTTTATCTTTACATCTATAACTATTT